CCATAAAACAAAACAAGACTAAATGGACACATCAGCCCAGGGGTAAGGATGAGAAGCCAGGACGGGACAGGAAAGTTGGTAATGGGGAACCCACGGTTGAGAAGAGGAGAGCATTGACAGGTCATGAGGTTGTCAACCAATGTCACAGAACATTATGTGCGTTAATTGTAAAATGAGAAACTAGCTTGCTCTGTAAACCTTCATCTAAAGTACAATAAAAATAAAATAAAAATGTTGTGTCTGTTGCTGTGATATCACATGCTTATATTTTAAAAGTCCATCTGAAAATAGATGTAACTTTGAATAGAAATAATGGCCCCATGACAACACAGTCTTCACACATAGATGTGACACCCGTCAAGAAATGTTGGGCAATGAGATGTGCTTGCAGAACAACGTTAGCTTGCCTCAAGAGATTGTTCTGGGGGAAAAAGCAAGTCTGAGTTTTGATTTAAATCAGCATCTGTCTCTGAATATCTCCGTGGAAATTGAGGAGAAACATTCACAGAGGTACCCAATGGCTATTTTTCCCTTCTTCCATGTTTTCAGCACTCTGTTTTTATTCTGATGTTCAATTCCCCTCCCTCACTTAGTTATTATTTTTAGCTGCCGTGCAGCTGGCCCCCAACTCATGGCAACCCCATGCACAATGGAACAAAACGATGCCCAGTCCTGCTTCATACTTGTGATTGCTTGGGGATCTGTTGTGAGCCACAGGGTTTGCATTGGCTGACTTTTGGAAGTAGATTGCTGGGCCTTTCTTCCTAGTCTGTCTTAGTCTGGAAGCTCTGCTGAAACCTCTTCATCTTCATAGCAACACATACGCCTCCACTGACAGATGGGTGGTGGCTGTGCATGAGGTGCATCAGCTGAGAATTGAACCCTGTTCTCCCACATGGAAGGTGAGCATTCTACCACTGAATCGATCTGAACTAGTCGTTGTGGTCTCAGCCCTCCTCCCATTGGTTGATTTAAGGGTGGGTTTGTGACCCAGTTCTAGATGCTGGGACATGAGGAGAAACCTACTCGGGGTGGGAGTTCTGGCAAAGGTTTCTTTACTCTTAAAAAAGACATTGTGGTGTAAGGATGTGATGATTGTTGGTGCTATGGCACCACCATTTAATACTATCTTTTCTTGAATCCATGAGCGGGGAAGGCTGATGACAAAAGCCAACAAGCTGAAGATGGCAGAGGGGAAAGGGGAAAAGAGCCTGGGTACTTGATGATTCGAACCCTTGAATTAACCAGCCCTGAAAGCACCCTATTTAGAATTTTCGGTTAGGTAAGATAATAAATCCTATCATTTAAGTCATTTCGACTTGTATCTGCTATTACTTGTAGATGAAAGTATCTTAACTGATAACCCATAAAGTGATACTTTTCCAGTAAGCAGCAATGTTATCCCCATATTTATCTCTGGTAACAACGTTAACTTTCAGGGAGAAAAAGTAACTCATCTGGATGATTCTGTGAAATATTATTTGCCAAAATGCTCTGCTTTTCTCCTGTCCATTATGTACACTTCATTTTGTCCTTCAAATCACAGAAGCTTCTAGACTAATTGCTCTGTCTTTACTAAAGTAAGTGCATGATTCCCAGTTCACAGGGGATTTTTAAAATATACCTTTGGGTTGTCTTGCCTCTAGGTTGATCTGATAACATATCTTATTTAGATTGAAAAGAAAATTTGTAAGAGTTTCCTTGCATTCATTATTCTAAGATCTCTACCCATCAAAATATCACAAATAGTAGGAGATGGTTAAGAAAGATGTAGGTGGAAAAGAAGAAAAGAGAAGTAAAATAAACAAAGAGATTGAGAAGAAACTAAACAAAGCTAAATCACGAGAATAAACTGTCAGAAAATTGAATCCAAGTCTTTATCCCACCCAGTCTTACAGCAAGGGAAAGGAATAGATTTGGGAGAGAGAAAGATAGAGAGACAGAAGTTACCTACTGACAGACAAAGAGGAAAAGAAAGGATGCAATTCAGTACAATATTTGTCTTTTTCAATATTGTTTTATTAAATACTGAGCAGATACAAAAGAATGTTTTAAATATATTTAAACTGGCAGAGTCATATACAGTCATGATACTATGAACTCTCATATAACCACCATTGAGTTTATAAAAGAACAGTATCGTTGTCTTAAGAAGTTGCTGGTGTGTAGACCCCCGATTTCATCCCCTTCCCCATCTGTGATGGTTAAGATTGTGTGTCAACTTGGCTGGGCCATGATTCTCGTTGTTTATATGTGATCACTCCCATGACTGAATATGCTGTGAGTAGCCAATCAGATGAAATGGTGTTTCCTTGGGGGTGTGGCCTGCATCTGAATATAAGCAGACATTCTGGCTTTTTGCTCACTCTGGATCCTGCGGCTGCCTCCTGTCATCTCACCTCCAGTTCTTGGGAATTGAGCTGTCAGCTTATCTGCCAAACTTGGAATTCATCGCTCTTCACAGCCTGTGAGCAGAGCCCTGCTCTCTGACCTACCAATCTTGGGCTCACCAGCCCCTGCAGCTATGTGAATCAGGAGAAACTTTGCAGTCTTGCCTGCCAATCTTGAAATGCACTGACCTTCGCAGCCTGTGAGTGGGAGCCCTGCTCTCTGACTTGCTGACCTTGGGCTCACCAGCTTCTGCGACTCCGTGAATTGGGAGAGGCCTCTACCTTGATCCACGGACTTGGGAAGTTCTAACCTCTACAATCACGTGAGCTGTTTCCTTGATATAAATCTCTCTATATATATATTTATACACTTTACTGGTTTTGCTTCTCTAGAGAACCCAGCCTAAGACACCATCCCATTAGAGGTAACCACTATCTTGAGTTTACAACCAACATCTATCAAATCCCATTAACCAAGATGAGTATTGTGAGGGAGGAGCAGGTTGGGGATAAGTGAGTGGTTGGGAACTCAGAGGCTGGAGAAGATGTGGTCCCCACTCTCACACACAGTCTGGTGAGAAACAGACATGAATACAGCTAGCTGTGGTTCAAGGCAGGATGTGAGAACTACTATGGTAAGAATACTAAATCCTATGGGAAACACAGAAAAAAAGAGATTTCTTCTGGGGCAGGCAAGGAAACTTCAAGGACAAGGTGGCCTACAAGCCCTTGAAGACTGAAGAGTATTTCCAAAGATGGAAGGGAAGGGTCAAGTAACAATAGGAAGAGAGAACAGGAAGAGCAAGGTGTGTCTGAAGAATGACTGATCCATCCAGGTTGAATAAGTATAGGATGGGAGTGGGGCGAAGAAAGTAGAAATTATGACTGGGATGAAAGTACAGCATTTGGAAGGACTTATCTGAAAAGTGAAAATTCTTTTAGAAACCGAAAAAGAGCAGCTATTAGTTTGGGCACCAGTTTTCTCCACACAGGAGGGTAGCCATCTGTGTCTCTCTCTTTCCTGGCCCCACCCTCACTCTCACCCTTCACCAAATCCTTTGCCAGCCACCACCAATTCTCTATTCATAATCTTTCCTTTATCCGTCCATCTTTCCAACCCTCTAATTCCACTGTGTTCACTCAAGGACTGAACAAGTATGATAGCCTCCTGGCATGGCACCATGTTCCCCGGAAGTGCAGGTAGTGGGAGCAGCACAGGCTTTGCAGCCTGGCAGACACAGGATTGAATCCACGTAGGATAGAAGTCATCAGACCTTCTGCAAATTGGTGAGCTTGCCCTGGCCTCAGCTTTCTCAGTGATAGTGACATGAATCTCGAGGAGCCATTGTGAGGAAGAAACAAGAGAACACATGTCACATGCCTGGTGTATAGTGGGGGCTCAATAAATAGTTCTTTATCCAATAAATGTTTATTAAGAACCTACCATGAGCCAGGCACCATATTAGCTGCCTGGGATACAATGAGGAGCAAAACCAGACATGTTCCCTACCCTCATGCAGCTTACAGTCTAGAAAAGGAGACAGACATTAACTAATAATTATACAAATAATTGTACTTAAGGGCCATGAAAAGGGTATGAGTGCTGAGAAAGTATATATTTAGGAGCTTCCATCTATTCTAAGAGATCAGGAAAAGCTATCTTCAAGACTCTACTTGAAAGTCAACTTCTCCAGAAGCATGTCCTGATGACCCACCCCCAACTAGAAATGATACTCTACCTCCTGTCTTTCAGTTTGTCTTACTGTGGTGGCTTGGATGTTGCTTTGGTGCTAGAAGCTATGCCACAGGTATTTCAAATACCAGCAGAGTCATCCATGGTGATCAGGTTTCAGCAGAGCTTCCACACTAGGGCAGACTAGGAAGACAGTCTTGGCAGTCTACTTATGAAAGTCAGCCAATGAAATCCTATGGATCACAACAGAATATTGTCTGATGTAGTACTGGATGATGAGCCCCCTCGGTTGGAAGGCACTCAAAACACACAGTGGCCTCAACAATGGATGCAGACATACCAATGATCATGAAGATGGCACAGGACCAGGCAACGTTTCATTCTGTTGTACCAGGGGTTGCCATGAGTCAGAGTCGACTTGATAGAAGTTAGCAATAACAGGAATTATTCTACTGGCCTCTAAATTCTCTACAGGAAATGTGCAGCCTTGGGTCTAGTATTATAACTAGTGGTACGCATGTCCTGTATCCTGCACCCAATTGTAAACTCCTTGTGGGCAGAGAACAGGTCAGCTCCATCTCTGTATATTTCACAGTATGTGTTAAAGTCTATTATTTCAATAAATAAGTTAAATCATTAGCTTTCAGAAAGCTGCCTCAGTTTATTAGAACTTGAAGCCTAATTTATGCCTTTTGTAAGCCAAGTTCCCATTGATTTTCAAGTCATTTGTCTGAGCATGCTAGGTGATGTGCAGGGAGACAATAATTTGGTTCTCGGAAATCATATAATATCCTTACTTCTAAGAATGTGGCAAGGAGACCTGGTGGCACACTGGTTACGTGCTTGGCTACTAACTGAAAGGTCAGTTGTTCAAACCCACCAGTCGCTCTGCGGGAGAAATATTGGCAGTCAGCTTCTGTAGATTACAGGCTTAGAAGCCATATGGGGCAGTTCTACTCTGTCCTACAGGGTTGCTATGAGTAGGTATCGACTCGATGGCAATAGTTATGAGTGTGACACCCCTAAACTCCTGCTTAAAAATCCCATACTTGAGGTTGGGCCACCTATTAATTAGAGATACACAGGCAAGAAAAAGTGAGACTAGTAGGATTCCATTTGCCAAACCTTCAGTCCCTAAATTTTACAGTTAGAATCTCAGTTTGTGATCTAGCAAAAGAATGAAGTACCAGAAAAACCTCTGTGTGCCAAAATAACTTATTCCTGTCAGGTTGCCCGATGTTAAATCTGACCCTGCAGTTAGATTATCTGGAAACCTACTCAGATAAGCACTTTTAAGTAATCATATAATGATGCCAAGAGAGTAAGGTCCACCTTCACTCTGGGAGGCTATTTTTATATTTTTCAGTGTTAAGAGCTGCGCTCTTACCTGTATGTGCCTTTCATTGCAATTAACAGCTATAGTTATTATTATCATGATTGTTGACATCAGTGATGGCTATAACAGTAAGCCAAAAAAAACCAGAGGAAACATTTTGCTATTAGATTTAAATTTTCAAGTCTTTACTTTAAATTCATTTTATTTTGGTATCTTTGATTTTTTTAAAAAAAAAAAAAAAAACTAGCAATACCAACAAGAGGCAAAATATATAAATTTGAATAAATGTAGAAACAAACAACCCAGACCCTCTTAAGTAATCTATCACATGGAAACAATCCATCTGCAGAGGAAAAACCATCAAATCGGAATCTGTGATGTGTGCCAATGAGAGGAAGGATTGTCACCCTTGACCCTGCGTTTGGTTCCTCAAAATTAACACCTTGGGCCCATGTTAAGCTGTTAAGCAAGGAGATTAAGAATTCTCTTGCTCTTTCAGTAGGTTTCCACAGCTTGTTTTCCATGACTCATAATGGCTTCCCGAAAGCTTTCCTTCCCTTCCTCTTGTGGGTCAAATGAATGCTCTTTAGCTAATTTTCATCATCCAGTCAGCGTTCCTGCTTTCCTATTGGGCATCCTCAGCTGGACCCAAACATTCACCAGCTTACTTATTTCCGGAATAAAATCAGGAGCATTCTTCAAATGAGTTCAGTCCAAATAGTCCAGAGGAATTCAAATCTGGAGATTAAAAAGCAAATATTATCCACACACAAAATTTTTAAAGTATTACTTGAATTAGAATTGGTATAATAACTATTTAAAAACCATTTACTCAGACTATGTCTTATATGAATTCCTAAACCACTGATTAAGGGCTCTTTCCAATCTTACCTTGTACAAAGGAGTGTCCATTACATCCCTAAGAAGACAGTGTAGTTACAGGAGACCTAGGAAACCTATGGTCTCCTCCAAACTGCCACTACAGTATGTGCGTGGCTTACTTTCCACATTTATAAAAGGAAATGTAGGTGTTCATGCAAGTTTCTTTTGGTTTGAACACTACATGATTCTGGTGGAGAAACACAGGAGTTGGGATTTATTCATTCTTTCAACAAATAACTTATTGAACATCTATTACATGCCATGCATCCTGTTCTCTGAATGAGGACAGGATGTATGGCATGTAATAAATGCATAGCCCACTATGAATACCTTTATCATGTTACTTAACACTCTGTACTGAAATTAAAAAACAAACCCATTGCCATCGAGTCAATTCTAACTCATAGAGACTCTATAGTACAGAGTAGAACTGCCCCATAGAGTTTCCAAGGAGCAGCTGGTGGACTTGAACTGCCAACCTTTGGTTAGCAGCTGAGCTCTTAACCACTGCGCCACCAGGGCTCATATTGAAACTAGAGGTCCCCTAATCTGATTCCTCTACTGACAGCCTTGTTATTCTTGCCAGTGAGAAGCAGAATACTTGACACATAGTACTTGCTCAAAAAGCACTTGGTGAATTAACAAACGAGAGCTCTTTATAAGGTTGAGTATCCCAGAATGAGGACCAGAATGAGAGATTTTAAGCATAATCTCCAGTAACAAGATTTCATTGAAACACTCATATTAGATTCTACTTAAGGATTTCTGAGCCAACAGCAACCTGATCACATTAACACCTGCCTCCATCTAGTCCAGAACACGAACGTGTCCTTGGCACTTCCTTAGTTTCCGGTTTGACATACTGAGCCACCTGTGCTGGATATCTTCTGTTACCTTTCCAGATCTGTCCTCCACTTTTTCCCACCCTACTTGGTGCCCTGGGTGGCTGACCTATACGGACTATCTTAACTGAGCTCCAGTGCCTTCTGGCTCTGGTTGGGTTTGGCCAATGGGGAGTACCAACAGGAGATCAGAGAAAGGAAGAACAGCAAAGTAAGGACACTTATCCCCTCTCTTCAGGGCAATCACAGGCTGTTGTGCCCTTGACCAAAGGTCACAGCTCCTGCCAGACAGCCCTCTCCACAGTCATTCTCTGTGTGTATGTGTCTCTCTGCTTCTCTCTCTCTGTCTTTCTTTCTTACTCTCTCTCTCCCCATCTTAGTGCCTTATCCCTAAAAAGGGATTATTGTAGATTGAATCTTGGGTTGCAAAAGATATGTCCACCCGGAACATCAGAATGAGACCTTGTTTGGAATAAGGTCTTTGTAGATGTAATTGAATTAGGGATCTCGAGATTACAGCATCGTAGATTTAGAGTGGGCCATAAATCCAGTGATTGGTGGCCTTATGAGAGAAAGGAGAGGGAGATTTGAGACACACAGACGCAGAGAAGGAGACACACAGAGGGAAAGGCTACATGAAGATGGAGGCAGAGATTAAAGTGATGCGTCTACAAATCAAGAATGCCAAGGATTGCCCCCAGCTACCAGAAGCTAGGAGAGAGGCATTTAGAGCCTCCCTCAGAATCTCCAGAAGAAACCAACTTTGCCAACACCTTAATTTTGGACTTCTGGCCTCCAGAACTGTGAGAGAATAAATTTCTGCTGTTTTAAGCCACCTAGTTTGTGGTAATTTGTTTGGGTGGCCCTAGGAAGCTCATAAAGGGATGGTAGCTGTGCCCCACTGTTAGCAGTTACAGGGCACTGCCTTCTCTATTTTGGTTTTCCTATAAAAACCTGTCGCTGTCAAGTTGATTCTGACTGGCTTAATAGTTCCTTTATGAAATTCTCCTCAAATTATTCAGTTAGAGTATACCATCAGTTTCCCACTAGAATCTTTACTGATAACCACACAAGTTATCAGTATTATGAATTATACTGTATTATCAAGTATTATGAAGCATAAATGATATAGCCCATCACCACCAAGCACAAAAAGAGGGCACAAATAAATGTTAGTTTCCCTCCTTTTCCCTGTTATAATTTTTATACCCCCTTCAACAGCTACAAATAGTGCCTTTAACATAATTGCTACTTAATAAATATTTGTTGAATGAATAAAAAAATTTCTAAGATGCTTCTGACCACAGTTTTGGATTCAAATGCATGGAAATTAATGCACATTAATCTAGATTTTAAAAAAAAGTTGTCGTCGAGTCAATTCCAATTCATGGCAACCCCATGTGTTACAGAATAGAGCGGAGTTCCATAGGGTTTTCTTGGCTGTAATCTTTACGGGAGCCTGGTGGTGCAGTGGTTAAGAGCTCAGCTGCTAACCAAAAGGTTGGCAGTTTGAATCCACTAGCTGCTCCTTGGACACCCTGTGGCGCAGTCCTACTCTGCCTATAGGGTTGCTATGAGTTGAAATTGACTCGATGGCAAAGAGTTTGGATTTTTTTGGAATCTTTATGGAAGTAGATTGCCAGGCCTTTCTTCCAAGGCACCACTGGAGAGGTTTAATTACCAGCCTTTAGATTAGTAGTTGAGTGCAAACTGCTTGCACCACACAGGGACCTTAATCTAGATTATCAACTGTGGAATTTAGTTAGAGAAGTTTTTTATTTCAATAATTTGGAGAAGAGGTGTTCTGCTTTACAGATCTCATTCTCATTCTTTTCTTTTCCCTCACACTTTGACTGATCCAACTATGGGCCTGCTGGGATTATGGTTCAGCCTCAGGAAAAACAGTGCCAATGGATGAGCTGACATCTCAGGAACTCATGAAGTTTAGCAGACTAAGAGAGTAATTTACTGATCCTTCCTGGACCTTGGAAGAAATAGTGATTTTGGCTCAATTCATCTAATTTGTATGAAACTAATTTTGCAAGAAATACAGTTTAGGATAAATTATACCTCCTTGAATCTATTCACATTTATAATGGACAATAAAGTTGAATCGTCAATAAAGCTGAATCACCACTCACTGTGTGTGTTGATCTCACTGATACATTGCAGAAGTGACTTCTAGTTCTGGTATTGGAGCAAGCAGCATGTTGACCTGAGTCGGGGGCTGCCTCTGCATGGTCTCTCCTATTTTAAGAAGGAAAGGTGCTTTAGTCTATATTTAGTCAATAGTAATACAAAAACTGGACAATATATGCTAACGTAGTAAGTATAATAAAAGACTGTACTGTCACAGATTAAATTGTGTCCCCCTCCCCAATAAAAATAAGTGTTAAAATCCTAGCCCCATACCAATGAATGTAATTCTATTTGAAAATAGGGGTTTCTTTGTTGTGTTAATTAGACCATGCCAGAGCAGACCAAACCTGTTGCTGTTGAGTCAATTCCGACTCATAGCGATCCTATAGGACAGGGTAGAACTGCCCCATAGAGTTTCCAAGGAGTAGCTGGTGGATTTGAACTGCCAACCTTTGGATTAGCAGCCGTAGCTCTTAACCACTATGCCACCAGAGTTTGCTACTGGAGTAGGGTGAGTACTATCACTTCTCAGTTATAGAAAGAGCAGAGTAGACCCACAGATACAAACACACGGGGGAAGACAGATGCTATGCGAGGACCTCCAAGGAACCCAGGAACGCCTGCAGCTACTGACAAGAAAGAAATCAACAGGGACTCTGATCTGGACTTTTAGACTCCAGAACTGTGAGAAAATAAACTTCTATTCTTTAAAGCCAGCCACTTGTGGTATTTCTGTTACAGCAGCACTAGGAAGCTAAGACACATACCTTAAGTCTTGAAAGGGGGATTTGGGCAATTTCCACCGCTCACTGAATTTCCTGCCTACAACTCTGACACATTTAACCCTAATGTCTGTTTCTTCCCCTTCATTCCTCCTCTGTCCCCATGCCCCATCTGATTTCCTGGGCACAAGCCCTGAAGTATAGTTAAGGAGGAGAAAAACCCCCAACCCATTGCCATCAAATCAATTCTGATTCATAGCAACCCTATAGAACAGAGTAGAACTACTCCATAGGGTTTCCAGAAAGCAGCTGGTAGATTCGAACTGCCAATCTTTTGGTTAGCAGCCATAGCTCTTAACCACTGTACCACCAGGGATCCTAGGAGAAACACAGAAAAAAACTCAAAAAGTACAATGTCAAGTAGCAAGAAAAGAATTTTAGTTTGGAAACTGAATGCAAACACTTCCTTCTATCACATTTTGTTGAAATAGGTCCCTAAGGAGAAAATTAGTGACATTTTTGATTTCAGGAACATTCTTTTTTCTATGATCTGTAACAGTTTAAATGTCATTGAAAATACCTGTTTTTTAGAGGTTGGTAAAATTCCCCTGTGAAAATAATAAAATCACCACTAAAGCTAGAATTTCTTTTTACAGAGTATTTAGCCTTCTAAAGGATAAAAAAGCAAAGTTTCTCTGACTAATTAGGACAAAGATGGGAAAATGAGACCTGGTCTTTGCCTAGGCCTGGAACCTCATCTCCTTGCTCTCTTCCTCAGAGATCCATTTCATCTGAGCCCCTTAGCGTCTTGGGGCAGTGGTGGTTCAGTGGTAGAATCCTTGCCTTCCATGGAGGAGACCTGGGCTCGATTCCCAGCCAATGAACCTCATACCCAGCCACCACCCATCTATCAGTGTGTTGCTGTGATGCTGAACAGGTTTCAGCAGAGTTTTCAGACTAAGATGGACTACGTAGAAAGCCTGCTGGTCAGCCAGCAGCTAACAAGTACCAACCACATCCATGGTGCTAGAGCTAGCAAACCTGTTTGTCTCACATTAAAAGTTCCTAGCAGTCTGTGATCGTTTATGTTTAAACTTGTATTTCTCAAAGGGTGATTGTTATAGGTAGAAGTCTCAGATGGGGTATACACATCCTGTGTAATCCCCTCCCATTGAGTATGGGCGGGACTTTGAGTATGATGAGATTTCACTCCTGTGATTAGGTTACATTATATGGAAAAGGTGAAAAGATTTTGGAGATGCAATAGCCACAACAACGGGCTCAAACAAAGTAACGATCATGGAGATGACACAGCACCGGGCAACATTTCGTTCTGTTATATGTAAGATTTCCGTAAGTAGGAGCCGACTTGATGGCAAATAACAACAACGATTAACAGACCAAATTAGTTGAATTTGAGTAAATCAAGGAGAGTATCCCGGGGAGCCCTGACTTAATGAGGTGAAAATCCTTAAAATATTGATTGGGCCCTCCCTGACGTCATAGAGACCCTCTTGCTGGGCTTTAAAAAGCAAACTGCCGTGTTGGGACCTGCGTATGGAGAGGATCATGTGGCGGGGGACTGCAGACGGCCTTTACAACCTGAGGTGGCCTCTACCTGGCAGCCAATAGGAAGCCTAGAAACCTGGGGTTCTCAGTCAAACAGCCGCAAGCAAATAAATTGTGCCAACAACACGAATGAGCTCGGAAGCAGAGCCTCCAGACAAGAATGCAGTCCAGCTGACACCTTGATTTCAGTCTTGTGAAACCCTAAGAGGATCCAGTAAAGCCGTTCCTAGACTCCTGACCCATAGAAACTGTGACATAATAAATGTATGTCGTTTTGAGCAATTGGTTTCTAGTAATTTGTTACCCAGCAACAGAAAACTAAGAGGGATCAACAGACCCTTGACCTGAAAATCACCAGAGGTACTAATTTAAAATGCAGGTTCTTGGGCCCTGTCCCAGATCTATTGAATTAGAGTCTCCCTTCATGGAGGTCCAGGAGCCTGAATTTTGACATATAGCCAAGTTGATTCTGATGCACATTAAGACTTGAGAATGAACTTACATGCAAATAATTGCTCAGACAATCGTCAATAAAGCATCTTATAAGTTTCAGAATTTGAGATTTGGAGACAGACATTTTTTAAGGTTAAAATACCAAAATATTCATGAAACTAAATAATTATCAAAGAAAATGAACAGAGTTCTTTTGAATGGAAAGCCAGACTGCTCATCATTTGCTTATTCATTCAGTTTGCTGATGTTTTGTATCACTATATAAAACTATTGCCTGTCAAAATGATGGCTAGCCCAAAGCAACTGTCCGCTGGTACATTATCTATCATTTCTCCTAGTAGCCAAAGTTATGTAACTTACATGCTAAGAGCAAAAATTCTATTTAAAAAATTGATAAAAAGTCAAAAAGGTAGGATATATATCATTTTAATAGCTTCTCCTGAATACCTAAAATGGGTGAATTTTTTTTTTTCTAGCTCTACACAGGGAAATAGACTTTCTTTCAAATAATATTAATTCCCCAATATTACTTAAGGCAGCAGAAGCTGTCAGAAATATTTTAAAATTTCACAGAAGTCTTTTCATGAATTTGTCAAATCTCTGAACCAAATATTTCTCTGACTTTTTTCGGGGACCTCAGAAGAATTTAAAAAATTCAAAAGAATCTCAGTGTGAATTTTGACTTGGCCGAATCTAGAGAACAAGATGGATTTCCAGCAATAAAAACTTTGATTAAAAATAAAACTCCATGCCTTATGTTCTCAAATAAAACCCTTAACACAGTATCCATGAAAATGCCCAGGTAGTCCTACTCTTTTTTTCTTTTAAGATTTCTATCACTTTTACAAAGATGCTTTATATATTTGGTTTCTGGTATCTTGTCTCAATTCATCTTTCCAAAGTAATTTTTGATTCCCACTGAGTAATGGGAATTCTCAGAGTGTTTTCTTCACTTTGTTCCCAATGATTTCCATGTCAAAGACAAGGTACATCTCCCGCCATCAAGTGACATCTAAAACGTGCTGATACTAGCCAAGCTCTCTTGGCTCCTAAGGGAACTTGCCCCATCAATTTTTGATATTCTTATCTCCAAAACTACTTGTTTAGCCAGATTTTACTTGGTTATGAAAGTGAAAAGCCAAAACAACTAGAAACAAAACAAAACCAGGAGGCTTAAATAAAGTAAGTTGTCTACGCTATATTCAACCCCTCGTGCTTTCTACTTTCCGAATAGTGGAGTTATCCAGTTTTTTTGTAATTGCTTATTTGTCTGCCTCTGTGAGTAGGAAGATTGTGTTTTGCATACTGTTGATTCCCCAGGACCCGCCTTGGAGCGTAACACATAAATGTTGCTATTAGTTACCAACAAGTCAATTCTGATTCATGGCAACCTCATGTGTGCAGAGTATGGTATTTTTATGCAAATAATTCACACCTTCTACTTTTGTTTCCCAACCCCACCCTCTCCTCATGAGGTATTTTTGTAATTCTGCTATGCCAACATTTTTTTTGCATAGTGGTACTTAAGAAAATATCTCACGGGAAGAGGGCGAGATTGGCAAGCAAACGTAGAAGGCGCACATTATTTGCATAAAATACAGTAGAACTGCTCCATAGGGCTTTCAAGGCTGTGACCTTTCAGAAGCAGATGGCCAGGCCTGTCTTCTGAGACACACCTGGATCGGTTCAAACTGCAAACCTTTCAGCTAGTAGTCAAGAGCTTATCTGTGACACATAATAGATACTCAATACATGTATGTTGACTGATTGAAGGACTGTCATTTAACTTCTTCGTGCTTCATTTTTATCAATAAAATGGTGTGGATTCAAACAGTACAAGGAGGCAACTCTGAGGTGCTGCCCAGGAATGTGGAAATAAGGAAAATAAGATTGCTCTCTGAAATTTAATCCATAATATCAGCACATAATCAGAGCACAAACTTTCAAAGTCACCTTCAAAAACTGATTCCCAGACAGACGCCTGTCAAATGTTAAAAGTGTTTTGTTAAATGAGCCAAACAGGATACCCCTAAAATGAGGAAGAAAGCATCATTATCTTGGCAAAGGAATCCATTTTATAAGACTTAGCAAATAACTCTTGACTGAGATTTGGATTTGTAATGGTTAATTTTATGCGTCATCTAGGCTAAGCTATGGTTCCCAGTTGTTTGGGCAAACACAAGTCTAGTTGCTGTTGTGGAGCAGTACATGTGATTAGATCAGTTGATCTTGGGTAGAGTAGACTACCTTCCATAATGTAATCTAATGCAATCACCTTATATCTAACGTAATATAATCACTTTACATTGTTGTTGTTGTTAATTGCCATCAAGTTGGTTCCGACTCATAGCGACCCTAGGTACAACAGAATGAAACACTGCCCAGTCGTGCACCATCCTCACAATCGTTGTTATGTTTGAGCCTATTGTTGCAACCACTGTGTCAATCCATCTTGTAGAGGGTCTTCCTCTCTTTTGCTGATCCTCTACTTTACCAAGCATGATGTCCTTCTCCAGGGACTGGTCCCTCCTGATAATGTGTCCAAAGTACGTGAGACAAAGGAGCTTCCAAGGAGCACTCTGGCTGTACTTCTTCCAAGACAGACTTGTTCGTTCATCTGGCAGTCCATATTATATTCAATATTTTTCATCAACACCATAATTCAAATTCATCAATTCTTCTTTGGTCTTCCTTATTCATTTTCCAGCTTTCACACGCATATGAGATGATTGAAAATATGGCTTGGGATTGAAAATATCTTTGGCATTAGTGATTGGTGCATAATTTTGATTAATAGTCATATTTACTGGTCTTCCTTGTAGGCCTATCAATATTATCCTATCACTGACAGTGTTGTACTTCAGGATAGATCTTGAAATGTTCTTTTTGAAGATGAATGAGACGTCATTCCTCTTCAATTTGTTATTCCGAGCATAGTAGACCAAATGATTTTCTGATTCAAAATGGCCAATACCAGTCCATTTCAGCTCACTAATGCCTAGCATATCGATACTTATGCATTCCATTTCATTTTTGACGATTTCCAAGTTTCCTAGATTCATACTTCATACATTCCATGTTCTGATTATTAAGGATATTTGCAGCTATTTCCTCTCATTTTGAGTTGTGCCATATCAGCAAATGAAGGTCCCAAAAGCTTAACTCCATCCACGTCATTAAGGTCGACTCTACTCTGAGAAGGCAGCCCTTCCTCAGTCATATTTTGAGTGCCTTCCGACCTGAGAGGCTCACCTTCCAGTACTATATCAGACAATGTTCTGCTGCTATTCATAAGGTTTTCACTGGCCAATTTTTTCAGAAGTAAACACCAGGTCCTTCTTCCTAGTCTGTCTTAGTCTGGAAGCTCCATTGAAACCTGTCCACCAAGGGTGACCTGCTGGTATTTGAAATGCTAGTGGCAAAGCTTCCAGCATCACAGCAACACACAAGCCACCACAGTACAAAAAATTGACAGACAGTGATGGAATCACTACATAATATAATATAATTAATCAATCAGTTGAAATCATACCAATGTAGGGTGGATCCTAAAACTAATCACTTTTGAGTTTTAAAAACACGAGCA